CATATATACCTAACAAAAAGTGATCAGAAAATATAAAAGCAATGTATCAAGTACCTATCGCATATTGTATTCCAGTTGGACGTGCACAAGAACTTTTGTATTCCTCTCTGTAGTTGTGTAATCTCATGAAAAACATATTAAATTTATACAGAAAAAGCTGTGCAAAGAAACCTTTTCGAGTATTTTATACCTCCGCAAGGATCAGGAGGAGAAGGTTCCTTGTGCAAATATTATGACGAGACGGCTTGTATTTCTTTCATGAGAACTTATTTTTTTTCTCTATTAGAGGTTTTTAGCTTTGGTATCGAGATAGTGTTTTTCTTAACACGTGGTTGGTTTTAAAACTACCTAATAATGTTTACTTGTTAACTGCACTGCCATAATGGGGTAGATGACATTTTTTTATTTAAATGTCTGTCGGGTAGATTAGAGGTATTTTAAAATACAGGTACACATGTTTTTCTTTTTTTACGGAAACAAATAAATACTTTCGACGATATATTGTTTTTGAAATGACGTAGTTTTATCTAATCATTGTTTTAATATTTTTATTACCTCATAAACAGATTACATACATTTTTAATTTTTATACTACATCATCATCCCTATTCGAGTTTCCAGCTAGGATATTTTCGGACCCTATGTGTCTTGCTGATCATCAAGGGAACGAAATCTTAAAAGATACTCGACTAGATTTAATAGAAGATATTAGACTATTTAAAATAGTCACTGCGAAGCTACATTACTGTTACGCAAAAATTTACCTATGATTGAATTTTACAGGTCATTCAACTATCAAAACACTAGGTACATTGCACTTTTTTACATATGGGTATCTTAACTCCATTTTGAAATCCACATTAAATTTTTCCGTTAACACGTTAAACGCCATGGGGGTCACCGGTGACCGGCGTTAGCGGAGGATTTACCTTCAACAGTTTTTTATGGGCAGTCAAAGTCTTAAGTCAAAGTCAAAGTCAAAGTCAAAATCATTTATTTCAATTAGACCAGTAAGGCACTTTTGAACGTCAAAAACTTCTTAAACTGTGTTAAACACTTTGAATAATGTTGTTGTGTATATTGTTTCTACAATGTTTAACGATTGTTCGTCGATATTTCAGAGTCGTTTTATTTTCGATCATGATAAAAGTATTTTGACGAGAGACGGTAAATTTTTCGGCTCAGGTGCTAAGTATATCGTAACTTCCCAAAGCCAATTTCGTTTTATTGCCTGAAAACCGGCCTGGATAAGTTGTCTGGGCCTTTTGTAAATAATTCAGACACGGGCCATGTCAAGTGTCTTATATTTTCACGTATGTCATATGAAATCGATCCAATCTTTTTCGTTCGTCGTATCGTTCGTCGTATCGTTTAACGAAAGATCGATACCTGATTTATTTTTTACAGCGACCGCGTCGTCGTGAGTTCATTTTAACTATGTTAAACACACATTCATTTGTTACAAAGATTTTGTAGTTAGAATTAGAATAAAATAACATAACATCACGCCTTTTATTCTCGAAGCGGTAGGCAGAGGTGCACATTATACCAATGTACAATGTAACACCCACTTTTCACTATGTATGTTATGAGTCCCATGTAATAGGCGGTGAGCCTATTGCCATATACCGGGCACAGTTCCAGACTCCGTGCTATTACTCAGATTTTTTTTTAAACTCAGTAATACTTTGCCCGACCCGGGAATCGGACCCCAGACCCCTTGCCCGGCAGTCACAATTGCGACGACTCGGCCAACGAGGCAGTTAGAATATTTGTGATGCAAATATCGGTAAGCCCAACATATATCCATCACGTTCTTCATACATCACCGATTACAATTTTCATTGAGTGGCCTCTAAAGCGATTATTGTGCTCAAGGTCACAGGATCGGCTCGTGCAAGGTATTATTGTCCTTTCCCATGTTGAGATTCTCAGTAATAGCTTAGATCTGGTATTTTTTCCGTTGTATGATTGTAGTGTGTGTGATACCTCGCCTCATTAGTAACGTAAGTTAGTAGATAAATAAGACGCTTAAAATAAAGTTATTCATATTAACAATACGTCTCTTTCATTGCTTCCAAAACCCTACATTGTGATGGAAGAATTTTAACATTTCAAATCACTACATAGTATAAAACAAAGTCGCTATCCGCCGTCTATTTGTCACTATGTATACAGACCTTTAAAACGACTTAACGGATTTTGATGCGGTTTTTTTTAATAGATAGAGTGAATTTTAAGGAAGGTTTATATATATAATACATGCATATTGCACCCGTGCGAAGTCGGGGCGGGTCGCTATTATGTGTAAATGTGCACTAAATAATTATGTAGTTTTGAAAAGAAAATTAAAATGTAAATTCCAAATCATAAATTGTAATTGTAGCACAATTCACTTTAAAAAAAAACATTTCTTAATACGAAATATCCACATTTTTCGAAATCAAATTGACAATTTTCACCGAAAATTTCAGTTACGTATGTAAAACCATTTCAATATTCAAGAAGCGGGTGTTGTTGTTATAATATCTCTGCTCGTTTGTAAACAATTTAGCTCTCGGGAATAATCTAATTAGGTATTTTGAACACGACGCCTCATCTTTCAGCAAATTGTTGCTTAGTATCAAAGTGTTTGAGAGAACGGTATTCCGAATATTGTGTCATCGCACACCTAACAACTAACATGCACGGCTCCGCCACGGCTCCATTCCAGCAATTAACTTGTCATGTAAATATGAACTTTAAATCGCATGTCCTATGACTTATTTCATCATTGTTTTTAATGCATAAAACGCCTTGCCGGAGCCATGCTTGGGCCACGTTGAAGCCGTGCCGGAGCCGTGCTTATTAGGTGACCTTAAGTCTTCGTAAATTATAATTATATAGAGGTATTATTTGCTCAATCCCTATAGAAAAGTGGTTGTTACATTGTATAGTGGCATTAAGTGCCGTAATATTAAATCTGATTTCTTAGAAATTATATATGACTCAATACTGGGCTGTGAAATTGAAAATATAAGGCATCGTTCACAACAAACTATTATCCGTCTTCGTCTGCTCACGAACACAACACACGATATAATAGCGTATAAGTTCGGTGTGAACGAGATCATCATCAACAGCCTATAAATGCCCACTGCTGAGCAAAGCCTCTTCTCACACGGAGAAGGTTAGAGCATTAATCACCACGCTGGATCAATGCGGGTTGGCGATTTCAAACTTATAATTAGAAATTATAAGTCCAGGTTTCCTCACGATGTTTTTCTTTCACCGTTTGTCAGTGGTGTCTAAATAATCTTAGAAAGTACATATAACTCGGAAAAAGTCACATTGGTACTTGCCGATGGTAGGTTTCGAACCCGCACCCTCATGCATGAGAAGTGGGCGTCTTAAACCTCCGGGCCACCACGACATTACGTGAACGAGATGTTAAATATAAATTGAAAAGCGATAAACTATGTAATTCAGGCATCATTAACTCATCGAGTACCGTATTTATAGACACAATTAAAGAACAATAGGTTGCGGTCACCGGTGACCGCTTGGTGTTTGACAGTTTAATAATGTTATCAACGATGCCTAAGTTAGAAAATTTGTGATAGTCTAAAACAACCTTTATATTCTAAACTGTAAGGAACAATTTCCTAAAGTACGTTTTGCGGTAGGTTGTTTTATGAATACTACCCAAATTACTTAAGATTTTAAAGTGGGAATCATGACTAGAATAGTGCTAAGCTAGTTATTAGTTGACTTAGGATAACATTTTTTGTAAGTTTTGATTAGAAATATATGATCTGTATCTACATTAGATAATTTCATTGACTGTCTCGTTGGCCGAGTGTGGCCGTTGTGGTCGCAAGTGCGACTGCCGAGCAAGGGGTCGCGGGATCGATCCCCAGGTCGGGCAAAGTATTATTGAGTTTCAAAAAAAATCTCAGTAGTAGCACGGAATCCGGAATTGTGCCCGGTATATAACAATAGGCTCACGCCCTATTACATGGGACTCATAACACAAATAGTGAAAAGTGGGTGTAACATTGTACAGTGGCATTAAGTTCCGTAATCTACCTACCCCTTCGAGTATAAAAAGAGGTCATTTTATGGTATAATTCCATTAATTAGTTCCTTTATTAAATAAGTTATATGGTATATTTTTATTTACACCTCAATGACGGTTATTACTTTAATCAAAATGTTTTATTTGGGTGTCATCTTCCAAAATTAATAATTTGTAAGGATCCAACTACAATTTAATTTCTGTAAAGATTATTAAAATCTCCTAGTGGTTATTCTCAATGGATATTGTATGTTAAATTGAATATCGTCTAGCCATTTTATTATTAAATTTTGTGTTTTGGAATACTAATTTCCACCAGGGCTTCTCGTGAAAGATAGTTTTTTTATATGTTCCGTAGTTTAAATCATTCTTTTAACATCCAACTGGGTAGGTACTTGTCAACTACTCAAATGCAATACTTTTTTCGAACACTACTTAGTACTTACTAATACTTTTGTCAAAAAATAACAGTTTTATAAGAATTATGTACGAGATTGTGTATTGTGACCGTCACGTTTTTATCGTCAAACAGCATAGGTACTCATTTTTAAAAAAAATGCTGGAAAAATACTAAAATTAACTTGGTCATAAAATCAACTAATGAAAGTGTGACTAGTTTTGAATATTTTATTGTACTGAACAGTCGAATTAATATAATTTTGATAAAAGAAAATACCCAATTATATTATTGAAGTTATGGAAGAATTTTAACATTATTGGTTCAGCAGATTACGCGTAAAGAGGTTGTAATTGAGGTTGTAATACTTGAATTAGTTGTAAGATATTAAAAAAGCTACATCGCTACTACTACCATCAGAATAAAAACCAATTTCAATCAAAGAAGCCTCCGTATTCAACCATGATCAACCCATTTACGGCACTGTCCTTGCCGGTCCATAGGATTTTATTGCTACCAATGTGTTAATGCTCATGAATGTTTCAGGGCCTGCTTCTCTGAGAAGTTGGAGTGTAAACAGGCGACACCTCCTCCAGTCAGCTCCAGCCAGGATGCTACTGCCTGCGTAATCAGGGGCAGCCACACTGGACGCACAGGTATTTAATTAGCACACCATTAAAATTTTAAACGATTTCATTTTTAGCATATTTTTTTTTAATCTTGCCCCACACTAAGATTTTCTCCTATGTCGTGGGTGCGTATACAAACATAAGTTCACACACACATCACACCCAGACCCGGAACAATCATCTATGGATTACACAAAGAGTTGTTCCGTGCAGGATCGAATTCAGCCTTCGCACCAATCGTGCAGTCTATATAATGATTGAAGACTTTTATTATAATTATCGTTCGCTTAAATATATGCTTAATTTACGCGCAATCCAGTCTTATTCCGCTTCTGTAGAATTTTTGGGAAATCCTTGGAAAATGTTTTATGTCCGTCTCGATTTAGCCGTCCATGAGTATTGTGTAACAAGTGTATTTATTTCTGCAAATAGGCTACAAGGCAGCACTTTTACACGTCAATTTTACCAAGCGAACGATGAGGCCGACATTTCCTAACTGACTACTCTGAGAAGAAATGCCGAAACAAACTCGAGAGATCCGTCTCTTTTAAAGTCCAGACAAATATGTAGAAGAGATTATGTGCGAGAACCGTGCAAGTTCTTTCTGCAGCAGCCTTTTGAGGAAAGAACTACAACAGTTTGAGCGGACCCGTTCTGAAAGCAGTACGCATGTGTCGGTTTACAATCAGCTCAATTAACAGGTGAGGCTGATTGATTCGACGAACAATACCAACCAAAAGAACATTTGGGTGGGTCGCACAAATACTCAAACTGTCAGAATATGGGTAATTAGAAAAATGTAACTAACACGTGACACTGTCATTAAATATTGGAACTAACACGACTTTCTGCTAAATACTTTTTTGTGGATATTGTCCATAGTTGTCAATAACAAATACCTATTCTAACTACTCAATTTTAAGTCGTGCTTAAGTATAGTTCTGTCTCTACAAATTCTTTGTAAAAGGACAGAGGTGGCACGATATGCCTTTGACTGGCGACAGAAAACTGCTGAAAGAAAATCCTCCGCTAACGTAGGTCACCGGTAACTTACGCGGCGGTTAACGTGTTAATATTAACTCATTTCTACTCCGAACGGTTAGATATTACATTACATGTAGTGTTTCAATTTACACCGAACAGTTACTTTTTGATTTCACAAAATTACGCGAACAATTCACTTCACAAGGACTTGCTCATAAAACATGCATACACACACAGACACAGCATGTCTTAAATTATGTAACGACTAACTTTTACCCGCGGCTTTGCTCGCGTCACAAAATGATAAAAAGTAGCCTATGTGACATATATCAATACACACAGCGCCATCTATACTAATACTTTTGTTTCCCTCGGGAATATCAATTTTTCCGGGATAAAAAGTACCCTATTATTTAATCCGGACTTCTGACTTCACGTCTGCAAAAATTCAAAGCAATCGGTTAAGTGGTTACGGCGTGAGAACGGAACAAACAAACAAACTCACTTTCCGATTTATAATATTAGTAAGGATACCTGACTAAACAAAGGAAACAAAAAAAAACAAAAGTGTTTAACTTGACCACATAACGTCGGCTGTTCTCTGTCGACCATTACCAGATCGCTACATTATTTAATTAAACCCCGTACATATAGATGGGTAACATACTTATGTATGTACACAAAGTGACTGTTTAGTTTTGGTCCCTTTGTTTTCCATCCATGCTTCCGCTCCTATATGTGTAAGTGAGTGGACTGAATTCGGAGAGCCAACTGTAGAGCTGTGTTGTCAGTGCGTTTGACACGAATTAACTAATTGTATTAGGTTTTGTTCAGCAAAAGTTGTGCTTGAAAATTATATATGTTATTGTAGGATTTAAGGCACGTATTTTATGAAATCTATAAGTAGTAACTGAATTGATTTATATCAGTTGTGTGGTGAGTTCAATGAAAGAGTGGCATATCCTGTTGAAATATCTGAAATATCATCTCCTAAATTTGTTCATATAAAAGTAGTCTCTAAACATCGGAAATAAAGTCTATGATGTAGTTAGTGGAGAGTAGTCACCGGTGACCGCTTGATGATGAGGAGGGTTTAAATCGAAAAACATAACATAACATCACACCTTTTTATCACCGAAGAGGTAGGCAGAGGTCCACATTACGGCACTTAATGCCACTATACAATGTAACTTTTCACTTGATATATTGGTTTAAATCGTAAAACATAACATAATATCACACCTTTTTATCCTCGAAGAGGTAGGCAGAGGTCCACATTACGGCACTTAATGCCACTATACAATGTAACTTTTCACTTTTATGTTATGAGTCCCATATAATAGGGGGTGAGCCTATTGCCATATACTGAGCACAATTCCAACCACCGTGCTACTAATGAAATGTTTTTAAAAACCAAGTAAAACTTTAGCCGACCCGGGAGTCGACCCGAAGAAGACCCCTTGCCGAGTCGCTTGCGACCACTCGGCCAACGAGGCAGTCATATCGAATCTAATCAAGTAAAATTTTTAACACCCTTTACGGTAGCAAATACCCAGTCATCATTCATTAATATTGATCATGTGTGCTATCTTGCGACCTCGTCATTGATCCGAACACGCATTGTGGTCCAGGCACCATTTTGCTGATCCAATTGGTTTTTGTCTCATAAATGTGTCTCCGATCGGATGAACTGTTATTAACTTCAATGGCACGGAAAGTATTTATTTATCGAAGTGGACGTCCAGTTGTTTTTGTGTTACACATACCTAACTTGTAAATTTAAACATACCTATAATAAAACTGTACAAATGTAAATTCTGCACATTCATTATACGTGTTACTAGATAGACAAGCCAAAAATGTAATTCAAAAAATTGACTGTCTGTTTGTAACAACTACCGGCACTTATCATTCAAAAACTACCGGTCCGATTACGATGAAACTTGGTATGATATATACTTTAATATCCTGGATATTATAAATGTGAAAAGATTCGAGTTTGTTTGTGTGTTTGTCACTCAGTCACATCGAAACGGATGAAGGGGCTGGGATTGGAACAGAGGTAGATTAATGGTCTGCAGTTATGCAACGGCTACGTTTTACTCCTGAGAACGCGGGCAAAACCACTGGCAGAAGGTAGTAATGAACAGATAGTATACCATTTGCTTAGGTATACGATAATAGTACGACAAAGATATTACGTTGTGGAAAAAGACTGCATGGTTGGCGCGGAACAATTGTTTTTGCGATCCACAGATTGTTGTTCCAGGTCTGGGTATTATGTGTATGTGAACTTGTATGTTTGTAAATGCGTGGGTGCGCGACACAGAAGGAAATCCTAATGTGAAGCACGTTTTTTTTTAAAAAAAAACACAAAGTAGGTAAACAATATTTTTAAGTAATACTCAATACTTGAATACTGAATAGTTTATTCTAAACAGATTCTTATAAGAACACAGCGTGATGCTCGTCAAACTTCCCGCCAGAATCGCGCGTTACCACTTTTGCGCGGGAAACTTTTCTAATCTGTCACATTTGACAGATGACATCGTCAACGTGACAGCTAGAGCTGTCGATAATATAGATTAAATTAGTGAAGTTCTTTAGTTGATTTTCGTCGTCTAACAGTATGAAGTGCACCTTTTTGTACTGTAGGTCATTGCACAGCTAACAAGCACGGATCCGGCACGACATTTTTTGCTTTGGAAACAATACAAAAAGGTTGCAAGCGCGCCGTCAGCGCCGACATAAGTGAAACAAGTGAGTTCATATTCAATGACAATAACATAGCTGGGTTGTAGTCGAGGCGCAGCCTTGCTGGAACAGTGCTTGTTAGGTGAGCGATGACTTTTAGCTTTGAAAGTGCGCTTTCGTATATTATGGTGCCATATATTTTGTCTTTTCTAGTGCCATATTGAGTTTACTCTGCCTAAAACCACACTAAAAGCTTCAAGTATTTTATTGTTCGTTTATTTTTTTTAACTGCCTACAGTTTTTTTTATACACTTAGTTGATACACAAAACTTCTGTGTTAGCTGTACAAAGGGTTGCTTTTTTAAATGGATATTTACCTCATTGTTTTGTGAACTACGGTTGACTGTTGACTTGGGTTTGTTTACACTAGGAAATTGTGAAGAGAGTATGTCATACTATGTTTAGCTTTTTGTATACGTATCTACCATTCTACCTACATAATACGTCTTTACATATAAACTTGCCGTTCTGCAGTACTGGCCTTTTTTATGGCAAAGCCGGTAAATGAGCGAACAAGTCACCTGATGATACGCGATCGGCGTTACCCATGGACACCTGAACACCAGACGCGTTACAAGTGCGTTATCGGCCTTTTGGAGATTATGAGTTGGAGGATCGTTGGGGATTCAGAGATTGGGGAAGTTGGGGAAGGGAGGGGGGTAATTAGGCCTCCAGTAACCTCACCCACACGACAAAACACAACACAAGCGTTTCTTCACGTCAGTTTTCTGTGAGACCGTGGTACCACTCCGATCGAGCCGGCCTATTCGTGCCAAAGCATGGCTCTCCCACACTTAAAATAAAATGAAGTTTTGTTTGTCAAACAATTCTAATTTCAAATTAATTTTATTCTAGAAATATAGATTTTTTCTAATAGTAGTCATTTCTTTATTGTTTAGTGTTACATTTTCATCGCATTTCAATAACGAATATCAACAAAGCGATTAAAATTCAATTTTTTGAAAAGAAAAGCTATGTCACAGTCAGAGTGAATCCCTGTGCGACTAAGAAACATGAACAAATTGTCTTGGATTTAGTAATGAAATTGTATTTTTGCTGGTCTATTCTAAAATCCCTTGAGTCATATTTAATTATTTGTTTGATATTTTACGTAGGTGCCTACCTACCTACAGAATAGACTGTTTTTTTTAAAATTAAGTATTATCTTTATTTACTTCGCAACAAAGTGTGAAAATAAAGATACCTTTTTATTCTATTTAGGTAAAGTGATACATTTTTAGATAAAACAAAATGCATGTTTCTATGACCTGACAAATGCTTAGGCAGTGAAAACCTTTTCCTAATTGATGTTAAATACCTTTGATATTTGGATTATCATTTTTACTCGTATTATATTTACACTAGATTTTACCCGCGGCTTTGTTTGCGTAGGTATTCCTGTTTTATTCCATGAGAGCCAGAGAGTCATACCCTGCTTGTATGCTAAATTTCATCAAAATCCGTTCAGTAGTTTCAACGTGATTGATGGACAAACATTCAAACAAAGAAATTTTCACACCGATAGTATTAGTGTAATAAGTAATAACACTTCGTTTATAACTTTCACATAATTAACATAAATTTACAAACATATAATTAGAGAAAATATTGTTTTAAAGATAATTCTGAAACCCATCATAGTATATCAAAAACAAATTCACATAAAAACTGATCAAAAGTTCCTTTAGCGATAGCTAACTGGCCGACGACATCAACGTATGAATTTCCAATTCACTTAGCATGATAGATTAATAAATCGTATCACGTTTTACTCCCTAACCCACCGTCGTACTAGATAACCTTTGGACTGAATAGTTCTTAATTAAAATATGTTCAGTTCAATTCTAAATACCGTTTGCGAAATACACAATTCTATCTCGATTGATGTTAATTTGTACCAGACTGAACACAAAAGGCAAGACTGAACAGAAAACAGGACTATAATGTTAATTATCATGTTTTTCGGCTTACTCACGTAATTATTCGACGAGAAACTCGACTAGTTTCAAGCCATACTAGAGGCGGCATCAGTAGAAGTGTGACAGTCCGTGCATTGTGTGTCACGGAATGCTACTTATGAATATGAGCCTCTAGTATGGCTTGAAACTAGTCGAGTTTCTCTTTAAATAATTACGTTTGTACGCCGAATTATTATTATATTTAAATTTAGTTGGGTTTAGGAAAGTTATAATATGGACTTTAATATGAATAATAACTTCTTTGTCATTATAGAATATGACTGCCTCATTGACCGAGTGGTCGCAAGTGCGACTGCCGGGCAAGGGGTCTCGGGTTCGATTCCCGGGTCGGGCAAAGTATTACAGGGTTTTAAAAAATCTCAGTAGTAGCACGGAGTCTGGAATTGTGCCCGGTATATGGCAATAGGCTCACCCCCTATTACATGGGACTCATAATATAAATAGTGAAAAGTGGGTGTTACTTCTGTGTGCACCTCTGCCTACCCCCTCGGGGATAAAAGGCGTGATGTTATGTTATGTTATAGAATATGCTACGTCTAATTGTTAAGCGTCTACTTAAAGTTATCTAACTAGTTCACTGAGAAAGAATGGTGATATATTCATGAGCGGCGCTGCTCGCTTACCATCATGTTATATCATAAATAAGCAAAAAAGTAGCTGTATAGTATAGTATATAGCTTTTTTTTTTAAGGGGGGAAAATCATCGAATGACTCCTCCCGCCTGGGTGAGGCGGGAGGGAGTGTCAGACTCTTACTGACTAAAAACCACCCCGTTCCTTCTCCTGCACGTCGAGCCGTCTCGTCGTATATAGCATAGCTTTAGTCTTAATAGTAGAAACATTTTTGAGGCGAAGTCAAACGTAGTTTATAGAACTTAAGAATTAAAAAAGAAGACTAAAAATACGTTACATGCTATGGGAGTCACACACCGGTGACCAACTTTAGTGAAGGATTTTCTATCAAGAATATATAAATCAAGTATAGAAATACATAAAGGAAATAATCACACAAATAACAGGAATCATTAACTTGATGCCTTGTTAAAACTGACAGCTTACAAATTATCCTGTCAGTCATAATAAACAGTATAAATAATTCGATATTATTATCATAATTATGTTGTATGTAAATACACTAGGTATATACTGATTTTCCAAACCAAAATACAGTAAAAATTATTTGGTTATGTATGATATTACTACTCGACTCGTCCTCGTTTATATGATTTAATTAATATTTATTCGTTCAATTTTAGTACACAATAAATATGCATAATAATATTTTAATATGCAATGCAATTATTAATTTGAACATTGGAATGATTTTTAATTTTACACAAAAATATTTATGTATTTACTTACGAAATAAATAGCGCATAGCGTAGTTACCTATTTTAAAAATGTACAATGTATAAATTTATTTACTTAATGATTGTTTTTACCTATGGAATTAAATAATATGACCACCAGAAAATACTTTGATACTCTGAATTCTTTTACCAAAAATATATAGGTAGGCTATCTCTCTCAGCTCGTTTTGCCTCTGTTATAATTTGGTTTTCAAAGTAAACCTTATGACGAACGCATATGTTTTATTTTGATATACTTTAATTTTGACAGTACTCAGTTCTGTTAGTTTATAGGTAATACGTCCATGACCAGACATAAGAAAAAGACAGATGTCCTTCGTGCAAGTATTTGATGCCTGCACGAAGGACATCTGTAGTATTTGCGTGTTCTGCGTGTTAGTGTGGTGTAAGTACTTAACACCAACAATGTAGTGAATGATCACCAAATGTAGTAAATGATCATCTTTGGTGGCAGTCCGACATGGTAGACGGATAGGACAGACTGATGGTATAGTGAGCGGGCGAACTAATAGCTACCGTAATGCTATTCGTTAGGTTACTTCAAACCCTGCGGTTTTTTTTAAGGGGGGAAAATCATTCAATTACTGCTCCCGCCTGGGTGAGGCGGGAGGGAGTGTCAGACTCTTACTGACTAAAAACCACCCCGTTCCTTCTCCTGCACGTCGAACCGGAGCCCCGGGTACCCGTTAGGTTCTCCGCGACTCCGAATCGGCATCGGCCCTGTTGGGCCCCATCTGTGGTGGTCTGATGGCTAATTGAGGCGGGTGCTGAACGCTACGCGCCGTACGCTCGGGAGGCTGTCGCTTTAACCTATTTATTTTATTATTACTGCGGTTTTAATTTTGGTGATGATTAACTATTTTTGAGTCAACTTTGATTTGTTTGGATTTGTTTGTAAATGTCATTTTGTTCTAATAGTAGGATGGCTAGATGTACAAATTTTGGTTATATTTTAAATATAAATGGGATGCCTCGTTGGCCGTGTGGTCGCTAGTGCGACTGCCGAGCAAAGGGTCTCGGGTTTGATTCCCAGGTCGGGCAAAATATTACTTGGAGTCTGGAATTGTGCCCGGTATATAGCAATAGGCTCACCCCCTACTACATGGGAGTTATAGTCATAACATAAATAGTGAAAAGTGGGTGTTACATTTTAGTGGCACAATGTGCACCACTGACTACCCCTTCGGGGATAAAAGGCTTATGTTATAAATGAGCTATGATTTCTGTTCATTGTTTACTATAAATTTGCCTGTTATAATTGTTACTAAATCAGGTGATACGTTAAACATGAGCCTGTCTATTTTAGACTTAACAATCCACCCAATTTTCTAAAAAAATTTACTGAAATTTTCCATAGTTCAAACGAAAAATCTTGCTTCATAAAAACTGAGATTACTTGCGAATAGCGTATGAAGTTAAAGGGGTATACTTAAAGAATTTTTTTTGTAGAGTTTAACTGAATTAAAAAAGTTCACTTGAAATACACAACATTTTTCATTTAGAGAAAAAAAATGCTTAAATGCTTGCCTTATACAATTTATTTATCAAAGGCGCAATGGTCATTATTTTCAAAAATACAAATTAAATTCAAAAGTAAATCAATTTAAAACGTTAGCAATTTGATTCTTTTCTTTTATAATTTATTAAACAAAAGAAAAATCTTCGGCCATTTCAATTTTGAAAAAGTAGCAATCTAGTGAGATTGCTTTAATCAGTGGGTTAAAGCCCTGAAAACTCATAAAAGGTATCACTTTAAATCATTATGTCAATGTGAACCCTGGAAAACGCCTGTAATTTATTGTTAAGGCTCGACATCTGTTTTGTACAAACAAGGATATAAAATGGAGGCTTTGTTTAATTGAGTGGGACATGTCATTCCTGATATTGCTGTAAACAGGTCATGTTTATTTTCATTGTGGGTGGTTAATGATATTTTGATACGATCTGATATGTTGATTGTCTTAATGATCGTGTAAAGGCTATATCACGCCTAATAAGCACGGCACGATACGACTAAAGCACAGCTCCGGCACGACTTAAGCACAGCTCAAGCACGACTATGGCACAGCATTTTTTGCTTTAAAAAACCCAAAAAGGTTTACAGCTTTTTTATACTGACGTTATGAACTATGCCATACGACATAATGATTTAAAGTTCATATTTAAATAACAATGATATTGCGGGGTTGGAGCCGTGCCGGAGCCATGTTTTTTAGGTGTGGAATGACCATCACATCTAGTGGTGTCTGGTTGTTGTGATGTGACTTAGGTTGGTTGAAGGGATAGGCTGAGATTTAAAGATAAATTTATTATGTGTAAAATTTGAAATGATGTACAAAATCCTCCTGATATGTGATCGTTTTCGTGAATAGAATCTAAAGAACTTACAAGTGCGGTGGCTGGGCTACCGGCTGCCATGCAATGTGTCGCGGGTTCGATTCCCGCACGGAACAACACTTTGCGTGAACCACAAATTGTTGTTTCTGGTCTGGGTATATTTGTAAATGCACCCACGACATCGGAGAAAATCGAAAAAAATCAATTTATACTCATACCTTAAAATATGTAATTACATACACGTAAACTTCGTATTAATTAATGAATAATTTCATTAATTGAGAACAACCCATCAAAGTTACGACTGAAAATAACCAGCGCTCTCGCCCTAGGCATAGATGAAGATAAATTACAGCTTTGCTGAATTTCTGATCTAAATAAGTAATTTATCATAATTAACTTGGGGCGAAAAGTTATAATAATGTAGATGTGTAATGATAGCAGGCAACTCAT